TGCAGCTTATGGACGTGGTAACTGCGTATCTTTATGGGGATCTAAATACGAAAATCTACATGAAAGTTCCAGAAGGACTTCCATTGACTGGCTCCAAATAGTTCTAAACCACGAAACACTCTTTCGATTAGATTGAGGAGATCACTCTATGGATTCAAACAGTCCGGGCAGATGTGGTATAACCATCTGAGTGAATATTTGACAAATCAAGGTTATGTGAACAACAAACTATGCCCATGCATGTTCATTAAGAAGTCACATTCCGAATTTACAATCGTTGCAGTTTATGTCGATGACATGAACCTCATCAGAACTCCTGAAGAGCTTGAGGAAATTGTCGCACACTTGAAATCGAAATTTGGGATGAAAGATCTTAGGAAAACTCGATATTGTTTCAGCATTGTTTAGATGGAATCCTAGTACATCAATCGAATTACACCCATAAGGTGTTGCGTCATTTTAATGAGGATAAAGCAAAACCTTCGAGTACTTCTATGGTCGTTCGAACTCTAGATGCTAAACGAGATCTCTTCCATCCGAATAAGGATGATGAAGAAATTTTGGAGCCTAAAGTTCCATACCTAAGTGCAATTGGTGCTATATTGTACTTGGCTCAATGCACTAGACCTGATATCTCTGCCACTATTAACCATTTGCATAAAAAGTAAATAGTTTTCTTAGACTTTTACCTACGAAATTCCATATAAGCACATACCTTTGATACGAAAGGTTAGTGAATTTCATGACCCAAAAATCCTTCGTATGTTGTGATGCGGGCCACACAGCTCAAAGGATTGAAGAAAGTCAAAGTTAACAGCCAAGTGGTCACGCAGATTCGTCTGCTTCTATAAGTAAGGCGTTGGACTGCCGACCCTATGGCTAACAACTATGAAAATGTTCTACATCAAAACCTACGGCTATATAGGCTACGTAGGCATGTCTACTTATAGAAAAGCAACACACCTACCGCTAGTCTAAAGGTCAAAGGTTGGGTGTAAACAAAAGAAGCGAAGATGAAGAAAAACGAAGGAAGCACATTTATTAAATCTTCTACCTAGATGGCTACTCTTCAGGAGCTTGGACATCTCATGACTACTCAGTCACCACACCTTCAACAAACACCACACTCTCAGCAGCGGCATCACCCTCTGCTACCCCAGCTTGGGCACTAATTTTTTCGACTAGTTCACCAATGGAAACCTCAAAAGTAAAGGCAAATAAGTCTTTCGAAGAAATAGGGAAGGCCTCGAAGACTTTCCCAGCAAACTCAAAGTTAGACGGCCTACCAAAGAGATGATCTACATAATCCAGCTTATAGAAATCAGCTTGACACTGGACAAGTGAAGCCTCGAGCCCAATCGTCTTAACCTTTAACTACTCGTTCTCCTCGACCAGACCAACATGGACGCACTCATCCATTTCCCTCTTCATACTTTTGTTAATCTTTAATGCACCTTGGAGTTCCAACAGTTGAGGTTCAAACCTATTGATGACTTTTTGGATATGGATCACTTGATTATAAGTAGTAATCAACTCTTTATCCTTTGTGTAAGCAGCAGAACGAAGCTCAGAAACGGCACACTCAAGATCTTAAATCTGAGGTATGTAACGACCAATCTCCTTCTCTCTTGGATCACTTCAAGCCTAGTCTTCAAATCAACTATCTCTTGGCGAGCGGTCTCAAAAGGCAGAAAAGTGGGGACAAAGATATTGGACCCCTTTAAAGTGCTGAACTCATACTCCAACCTTTTGATCTTCTTGGTGGAAAAATAAGCCTTAGCTGCCATAGTCGTTGTCACCTTCTTGGCAGCCTTGGTGTCTCTTTGGTCAAGGAACATAAACTCGACAGCCAGAATCGTCGTTTTCTACATCATGGCAAGTAGAACAGTCCTCTTATACTGGATCGTATGTTTTGCAAATGAACTTAGGCAAACAACCCTTTTGACGTCATCCATAAGCTTAGCACACGCGTCCATGTCTTCAAGCAGATCTGGCTTCAAAAATGCATAAATCTCAGCAGACTCCATAGAAACAAGGTTGGTGGACTTTTCATAACTACCAATGCGAGTAGTCTCCTCTTTCTCAGTAGGTGAACCAATCTCAGTAGCGAGAGGAATAGGCCTTGGCACCACTTTAGCAGCAGAGTCCACCTTATAGCTCTTTATAGTAGCAGGCCTCTCCAAAGGTGAACCGAACTTAGCTCCTAAGAAATGTTTTAATATAAACTTCGGCATTGGGGGCACGACGAAATCTTTGTGCTGAGCAATCGTATTAGCCTCATCTTTCTTCCCCTTAGAAGAAGTCAAGTCAATCATAAACCTCTCAGTAATAGGTGAACTTTTCACGAGCGACGAATGAAGCCTTCGATTTTTTCTCAACCAGAGGAAGATAGTCAACAAATCAGAAAACAGTTTGGCAAAAGCACAAAGCAGCCTAGAGACTAAGCAATCTACTTACCGATGATGAAATTTGTCGGAACACACAGCTCAGGGAAAGAATCGGATTCCCACTCTCCACTTATCTCCAAAGTCTCCTTGGCCCAGTCATAACCTCCCTTGCTCGAATGATAGAATAGCCTATGGCTAGATTGCAGCTGCCCAACTCCATCAATATGGCATATGTCAAAGAAGCACCATAATTCATTGACGATCAGATCCAAGTCAAAGAATTGGCTTAGATTGAGGAATCCCACCATCACACGGACCATATTTGGAGAACATTGAGCAAGGGCACACATCATGGAGCATAGTACTTCTTGGAAGAAACGTGGCATGGGAAAAGTAAATCCTAACACGAAGTAGTAGAGGTGAAACTTGATAGCTCTCCGAGCCCCACTACATGGGTCACGGCTGCTACCCTCATTGACACGCTTCACATTATCCCAGACGAATAGTGTGCCTATATGCTTCAAGGAAATCTTTGAACAAGTAATAGAAATTAATCTTGAAGTGAGCAGCCTTGAAGTAGCCTACTTTACTTAAAGATCTGACTTGATGATACAATTGTGGTATACCATTATCACTTTTGTGGATTGAAGAAGACATGCTTGAAGAAATTCTACAAAGACACAAGGAAGAATTGTTAGACGGCTGCACACAAAAAAAAAAAAAGAAAAAAAAAAAAAGTTTAGCACCAGTCTCCACGACCCAGAGACCAACCAGCCACGGGCCTAAGACTGCAGGAGCCCAACAGCCATGCTAGGCCCCACGGCCTGGCCCATGTCTCTGCTCAGCCCAAGTCAACAGTAAGGGGCCCCCACACCTTCATTTGCATGGGCCAAGCCTACCGACTCGTTGGCCCAAAGCCTAGCTTTCCTCTTTCCCTACAGACAAGCTCGAGCCTAGCAAAACAGGAGGCCCTCACCTCCTTGACATCACCACATGGGCCTAGGCAAAATGACCTAGACCCAAGCGTCCCAATGCCTTGGCTCAAGCTAGCCATGTGTAGAGCCCTAGGCTCGCGCCGCTAACCCTCAACCCAAGCTAAGCCGCCGCCCCACTAAGCCACCCACTACAACAATGTCTGGCCTCTCTAAGCCAATTTTTGACACATCCTCGACCTCTGTCGAGCTAAATTTCAAGCCCTAAGACTCCAAAAAATTATGAAGACAAGGAAAATTAATTTTATCTTACCTTGGTACGGTGTGAAGATGAAGAAAGCAACAAAAGATGATCATTTGCACGGGCAAGTGTAGAAGATTGCTAGGGGAGGGGAAAAATATATCGTCTAGCTTTCTCTCTCTTGTAGGGTAGAATAAATTGCTCTCTGAAGTTGATTTAATCTACTTAAGTTAGACTTAAATAAACTTTGGAAGTGATTTATTTCACTTTCCTATAAGGATCTAATTTCTAATTAATGTGGGAATATACATCAAAATAGGAAATAATCTTATGTTTCCTAAAGCAAGGGAATATCTCTACACCTGCTGCCTTTTTCTGCAAGCAGCCCAACAGGTGTTGGGGCATTTGTGGAGCCAAAAATAATAAAGAAAATTATGGAGGTGATACGTGGACTTTTGGGTTAAAAAGACAAAATTACCCTCGAGGCACACCGAGAGTCCCACACGCATGTAACGGACAATAACGGCTCAATCAAAATCAAGGAAGAGTCCAAGGTGATCAAAATTGTATTTATTTAAATCCCTCCCATCACTCCTCGTCAAATCCTTATTCAAAAAGTAACTCTCAATTGTCCTATTTAATTTAGGATTAATTGCAAGATATTATTTCAAATAATATCTTACAATTATTCACACAATTTCACCATATATGGCTGGTCACTATTCTCCAAATAGGGTCAGCCACTCCCCTATAAATAGCCCTATTATCCCACCACAAAGCTAAGCTATTTGCTACCCACAAACTCTTAAACACATTATTTTTAGAATTCTAACTTTGGCATCAGAAATTCTTCTGCCAAAGCCCCCACCCCAAATTCATCGTGGGCGCGTGAGGTTTTTGGCCTTGATCTTAAGTGTTATTATTTTTCAGATGCATTTTCGTCAAAGGAGAAGATGGCAAAAATTTGCATCCACAGCAAGAAAAATTAGTGGTTGCAAATCTAAAAGACGGCATCAAGGAGATACGAGAAAGGGGATGGATTATGGAGTAGGACAGAAAGAAAATGGAAAGGAAATAGGAAAAGGGATGACGGGGATAGAGGATAAACATGAAGGGGGAAGGACGATTGATATGGAAATGAGGTCTGAGGACAAAATCAAAGGAAAGAGGCAAGGGGATGGTCACCAAAGATGGGGGTGAAGGAAAGGGGCCAGCAGGCCAAAAAACAAAAGAAAAAACGAGCTGAAAAGCAAGGAAAGAAAAGGAAACAGAAAAGAAAAGGAGAAGGTGAAGGGGACTGCCATCGACCCTGGTCATAATTAGGGTGGGCATTAGGAGCATGCAGTTAAATTAAGAATCGATACATCACTATACCAGTTTTAAATTATTTAACACTAATGATTAACGATGATTTGTGGAAGTATGAATCTGATGGAGTAATCAAGGTCGTTGAATTGAGGTGTGAGGATAAAGCCGAATTGGAAGTCCTTTGGTGGGAACAAGAATTGGGTCCATTATCATTTTCTCGTCCGGAAAAAGCTTCTCCCACCGGAATCTGATGACCAAATTATGCATGAAGACCAATACCTTGAATCGTGCGTATTCTCTGCCGGGGCACATTGGAGCCCCTTGGAACCTCGACGGATCAAACTTTTCTGGATTAGGGAAATATTCGGGATTTTTGTGTGTCCCATATGCATTCCAGTGCAACCGCATTACATGTGCATTTGCAATTTTAAGTTAAAATTAAAATACGCCAAGTATATACTTAATGCAGCGCCTAATATAATATACCTATACCGTAATTAATTTACCTTACCTTCGTTAGTGGATGTAGAGAGTTTGCTTATAAGTACTTTTAAAATAATTGAAATTACTTTTGTTGAAATTATTTTTGGAAGCATAAACCATTTTTAGTCATTTTAATAGTAGTTCCAAACTAGCTCTTAGATATGTTTTTTAGAGATTATGGTCAATTAGTATTAGTTGAGTTTCTGCGAAACGAATAAATTAAAATTAAAAATAAAAAAATAAAAAAAAATAAAAAAACACTAAAAAGTAATTAGTTGACGTTACCTTCATTCCTTTTGGAATTAGATATCCTTCATAGATGAAGTCGGTGATGGCCTCTCTGAAAGTCCCGAGAATTGCTGGCTTCAACCTCAACACTTCACATACCACACACCATGTATATTTCATCTTTTGTACGTCCCCCCAGTTCAGCAGCTCTCCTGCTGCTTTTGAGTTCGCAATCTCCATTAATTTGCTCTGTTTCAGTTAATTTGCCACCATTAATATCCATTACTTACATATACATTATGATCCACCCACAAGTGACTCAATTACTGTTTGAACCCGATTTTACACTATCAGCCCGAGTAATCAAGGCCGTTGAGTGAGCATAGCTCTCAACCGTCGGATAAAAAAGTGGAGATAATTTTGTTATTATTAAAAGATAATATTATGGTTTTTATCATAATAATTATCTTTTAATATGAATTATCTTCAAATTTTCTTATACGGGATAAATAGGATGCAAATTATATCTCCAACTTGAAAGCGAGCATGCAATTCAATTTGGTTTGGGATTCTTGGCATTTAGAGTATGCTTGGAGTCGGTTAACCATGCATGAAGGTTATCTTTTGGTTAATGGTGATATCTAATGATCACAAAAAGATAATGGTGCGGCATATTCCGAGTTGGGATGATTATTAGCACATAAATTTATGCTAATAATTAGCATATTCTTCAAGGGCAAGCACGGCATGGGCTAAAGTGTTTAAATTTTAGGATGCATGCACTTGGACGCAAACATGGGCCCTAACATTGCATGGTTCCTCAGATGCTATAGAAAGCTTCATGTGCATGCAAATTGGTCTGATTCCATCAAATCCAATAGCCAATAGCCAATGAGGATGGGTCACTCTAAAACGGCTAAATGAGATGGTTATCAAGAGTTTTTATTTGTATGAAGTGCTTATCTTCGGGAGATTCAAATTGTGGCCAGCTACGGATGTTCCGCCAGAAACACATAGAACCATGTACTCGTCCTTGTAAATACAAGACATTGTGCAACATTACGGGCACCTCCAATTCAACACACAACTCCCCTACGCAAACCTCTCAAATATGTTGAGATTTTTTATTTTCTTTTTTCACCAACACATCTTCAGTTTGGATAAACAGCACTGTTGTCGTAGAATCAGCCGACTGAGGAGCACCTTCAATTTGGATAAACAGCACTACGTCAAGGTCGACTGGTTATCTATCCAAGTCTCGGTCGATAAGGGTTTCCGAATCCTTATTGGCAGAGGTCATCTTATTAGCCTTCTCGGCGAGGTAAGGTGTTATGAGTTATGACATTCAGCACATTGAACGCCGAGTGATTTTATGATTAGATACTCACAAGTGAGTTTCAGAGTTTGGCATTTTAATGCTGAACCACATTCACCATCAAGACATACATCACCTTTGAGTACTTGTGTCCATATAGTCTGGTATCAATTCAACGTGCTTCTACTCTCACGAATATAATCACTGTGACCGAATCTGGCACCGACGATTCGTGAACTTCGCAGAATTAGCAGCCTTGTTTTCAGGCTCGAGAATCCAGAGGCCAAGACTTGTTCCTTCCTCGGCCGCAGTCACAAGATCAAGAAGTTAGCAACGTGCTCAACGCAACATCAACAAATTGTACTCCTTGGCCTAGCTCAGCCGACGAGTTGGCATGCCCCGCATCAACCGAAGGATGTAGTTAGCTTATTAATTACTCGGCTTGTGCGCCATGTAAGCTTTGTAATTTTTAGGGTCAACAGTTACAAAACACATAAGTAATTACATGATGTATAAAAATTAATTATGTATCAATTTTGTGACTGGCCCCAAAGCAATTATATTAGGAAAGTGATGCACACCCTTGTACTCTCTCACCACATCATGTTTAATTGTTGGGAAATTTTATTTGAACCCATATAATCTTTCTCTACACCCAACTTACTCTCCACATCCATATTACTTTTAATTGAATTCTTAATTTTTCTTTAAACCCAATTTACTACCTAAACTACCCTCACAAACCCAATCCAATATATAAGTTTATCTTTACACCCATTTAGAAAATAAAAACCCAAAATCAATGTATCGAAGCTCATTTTATGAGACACATGTCACTTAATCTTTTATGAAGATGAGCACTATCAGCCACGACATGCACTTGGAAGTGTTCATTGAATTTTTCGTCATTACAGTCAGATGAGACAAAAATTATTTGAAAGTCTTTGCCTTCCACTCAAAGCATTTCATAAGGTCTCACTTTTGAGAGGTAAGAGCCTTGCAAGGCCTACTTGAATTTGCAGAGAAGTAGAGGCATGCCATCTTCCCATTACATGATGATAACGAAACCCAATAATCTCGTAATTAAAAGAATTTACAGAGAAGTAGAGGCATGCCATCTTCCCATTACATGACGATAACGAAACCCTATCTCGTAATTAAAACAAGATCATGTTTTAATTATCATAATCATGATAAAAGATTCACCTTTGAAATTGAAGGCATGTTTTTCAATGCTACAAACATACTTGAAAATCACGTTCCTATATTTTCATGAAATTGAAATATTTTCGACGTCCAACAGCTGAATTAAATTATGACTAATTGAAACAAGCGGAAGATGGGGAAGCTTTTGGAGACTACATACATACATTTGTTTCACTAGATAGAAGGAACTCAACACCTTCAAATTCAAGGACAATCGCTATATTGCTGCTATGCACTGCCATTAGAACTACAAGCAAAGTATAGCCTCCACCCTTCATGAATGAAAAGAAAAGAAAGCATGATATTCACACAATAGCTAGACTTAAAAATTTTAAATCCTATATACGTTTCTGCTAGTAATTATGCTTTGAAAAACGGGTTGATTGTGAAATCAAACGAAAAAAAATTTGCATAAATTGATTCATACCTTAGTTGGAGGATTCAAAACTTCAAAATCATCATCTCCATCATTCGAAAAGAGCTTGTCTTTCTCAAGAGAACGTCTTAGAGTTTTAGCTAGAATGAATGGAGGATAAAGATTCGGTGATAATAGGTTTGATTATTAGGTATGGGTTTGTTAATAAATTTTAGTTTTATTGTTAATTTCATTTTGTACTTAATGGTAATTATGCAATAGGATACAAAGATAAAGTCACATTTAAAATTTAAGTTGGGTGTAGAAATAGGTTAGATGGGTTCAAATAAAACTTCCCTTAATTGTTTATGTTATTTTCGTTTAATTTATTCAATTTAATGACTATAAATAATGTGGAGTGTGTAGAAAAAGAAAAAAAAAATGTGTGGTTGTCATTTCTGTTAAATTAAAACAATATAGGCTCCTTGAACTCGCCATCAAGAAGAATCAAACTTAAGACCTTGTTCTGCAGGTGAAGAGGATACCACTATATGGTGGTGATAGATGACTTCATCTAGAAACTATAGTGAGCTGGAAATTTGTTTTTTCGAGTCCCAATATGTATTTGTGTGTGTGTGTGTGTGTGAGTCTATATATTCATGATCATACACACACACTAGCTAAGTGGTCATGAATATATAGACTCCTTAGTAATTTCTATATACAATCTCTAATAGAAGGGGGCTATTAGAAGAAATCTCATGATCATGAATTCTATATATTCATGAAGTGTGTGTGTGAGAGTCTATATATTTTTTAATGTTTTTTAATGTATGTACTTGAGATTTCTATATATTCATGATCATGAGTCTATATATTGTCAAACCATATCTATATACAATCTCTAACAGAAGGGGGCTATTTTTTAGCCCCCTTAGTAATTTATTATTTTAAGTTTATCTTTAATTTTATTGGTTAATTGAATTAAACTACCACATAAAATAAGAGTTCCGAACATATTGAAGTGGCCCTAAATTTTGTTTCAAGTTTCATGTTATCAAATATTTAATTTTACTTGCATGTGTAACAACTTGACATTAAAATGAGATAAGATAGTACGGAACGGCTAAAAAAAAAAAAAAAAAAAAAAAAAAAACTATATGACGTCAGCTAGCAGCACAGCTGGGCTCAGCTTTCAAGCCTGGCTAGCTGGCTATGTTTGTCTAACCCTCAGGCCATTTGACTATATTTTGGCCTTGTGGGTCCTAAATTTTTTTGGCCCAACCCTCCATTGGAGATGGATTTTGCGTTAAAACGGACTATGTTTTGGCCTATAGCCCATTTGGAGGGCTCAATTGGAGATGGCCTAACCATCCTCTAACACACTACCATCTTTATGGTCTTGAGTCATATTGACTTCCACCACACAAAACACAAAGGCACCTACGTGGCTTTCACAAAGTCACAATAGACATTAGAACGCTTATACAAAAAGATATTTGTTGTTATTGTGCACTGCTAACTATGGCAGCTCTATATAGCTGGAAATCAGCGCCTTCACCACTTTGCCCTTTCTGTCATACTCATGAGGAATCAATTGAACACTTGTTCCTCCTCTATCCATGGGTGAAAGCTATTTGGTTTGTGGGTGCTTTAACATATTGAGTGAACAGAAGGGAAATTACTTCGTGGGGAAATTGGCTTCTTGTTGTTATCCAGGATAATGCTCACTCGAAGGAAGATTTGAGGCGCGTTATATCTCTCATTGCCTTTTCCTTTTGGCATATTTGGAAAGCAAGGTGTGGTTTCCTATTCCAACATACATCTCTCAACCCGTTATAGGTCCTCTCTTCTATTTCCACCAGTGTTACTGATTTCCTTGCTACTACACAGGTTACCTCAAGTGGCATAGGACAATAGCCATCTCGTCAGGAGGGATAGGTTCGTAGGCTTCTGCTGAATCTTCCCTTTGTCAAAATAAATGTTGATGCAAGTTAGAATGTTGCTACGGGGTCTGGTTATGTAAGGGTTATGGTTCAGGGTTCTTTGGGAAATTTTCTTGCGGCTCACAGAACAAGGATCCGTGCGACTTGTGTGGCTAGTGGGAAACGTTGGCTTTGCAAGCTGGTTGTGAGTTGGGTCTCTATTTGAATCTGATTCTCAAGGAACTATTTTCATGTATATGGGTTCAATCTTTAAGGGCAGATGGGAGGCTTGTCCTATTTCAGCAAAGTATTTGAAGCTTGGGAAGACCTTTAAGGATTGTCATTGGTCCTTGGTTCCAAGATCAACCAATTTGGCGAC